ACATTTAAGCTATGATCAACATTTTAGATTTCGACATCATGTAAATATGATAATCACACTGTTTATCCAGTTTCGCACACTTGAAAGTCCTCTTCCCTTTTTTTTTATTTTTTACAGCAAATATCACACATATGGTATTAACAAAAAATAAATATGTTTAAATACGACATATAACAGTACATTTATCACAAGCGTCAATTCGACTTTACAATTTCTTTACGTTTTCGACAGTATGTCTTTAACTCAGACTTTTTTACATTCCCTTCGTTCTCTTTGTTTACATCTGTATCGATTGAATCGTTTATTACATACGCCGGTTTTAAAAAACCCGATACAGTAACGGGTTTTCCACTTATTTCTTTATCGTACACTCTGTCCGACCTTCTCTCTATTACTCTGTAAGGGCCTGTGTATGGCTTTTCTAAGCCTTTTTTTGTTAAATTTTTCATGAACACATGGGAACAAGTATCTAAACCTTTAAAAATAAAAGCTCTTTTTGTAAAATTGTGGTTAACTGGCACAGGCCTAATATTTCGCATGTGTTCACGAAATTCTTCTAAAAAGAAGTTCGGATTTTGTGTATGCTCGTCGTGCGCAAAAAATTCCCCTGGTAAACGCAATGCCGTACCGAACAAAAACTCGGCCGATGACGCATCCGTATCCAATCTTATCGCAGATCTCAACCCGAGCAACACCGTCGACAGTGAACGCACCCAATCGCCCCCTTTTTGGCACTTGAGCGCTGATTTGAGTTGACGATGCCACTGCTCGATCATCCCGTTCGCCTCTGGGTGATACGCGGTCGTTCTTATTCTATTGCATCCTACCAGGACCAGCAGTGCGGTAAAGATTCGGGACTCAAACTGGGAACCTCTGTCGCTCGTGAGGTGCTTTGGAGCTCCGTATCGCGATATCCACGTATCGAAAAACGCCCGGGATATCTCGGTGGCGCAGGCCTCTTTTAAGGGTACAGCTTCGACCCATCTCGAAAACCTATCTATCATCGTTAAAATGTATCGGTATTCCTGTTTTTCCGGTAAAGGTCCGACAACATCGATATGTACATGGTCGAAGCGACCATCGGGCGCCACGAATTGTTCCGGAATGAATTTATTGTGTCGCGTAACTTTAGACTGCTGGCACTCCGTGCATTCATTACACCATTTTGCGATATCTTTATGCATGCTGGGCCAGACGCATCGACGTCCTATCATGCGATCCGTTACACGCTTTCCCGGATGCGCTGGATCATGAATGACGTGAAATGCTTTTTTTCGCAACGATGCGGGTATATACGGCCTGAGGGTATCGTCCTGGAGATCGTACCAGATTTGCACGGACGGCTGAGTATGCCAGGCAAAACGCTTCAACTTTAAGGAAGAATCCCCCCTCTTCAAAATTTCCGCGAGTTCTGAGTCAGACTCCTGCTCAGCAAACAGCTCATGTGCCGGTACCAAAGTCGGAAAAGATACGCTTTCTATCCTAGATAGTGAATCCGCAACCACATTACTCGGCCCAGGGACGTATTTAATATCCGTTGTAAACTGAGCGATATATGACAATTGACGCTGCTGGCGGGGCGGCGCCTTTTCTGATTTCTGTTTAAACGCGTAAATCAATGGTTTGTGATCGGTCCAAATGGCGAATTCACGAGCCTCCAGCAAGTATGAAAAACATCTTATAGCCTCATAAATTGCAAGCAACTCTCGATCGTAAGTACTATATTTACATTGTGCGGGCTTCATTTTTCGACTAAAAAATGCTAGAGGCTCCCAAACACCTTCTACGGACTCTTGCTCGATCACCGCGCCTATCGCTGTATTCGATGCATCTGTAACAAGTTTAACGTTAGCGCCCAGGCGAGGGTGTACCAACAACGCCGCCCGCGCCAAATCCGCCTTTATTCGCTCAAATGCCAACTCGGCTTCCGGAGTCCAAACGATTTTGCGGTTATCATTTTTTTTTTGATTCCCGAAAATACGCGTTAAGCGGAGCCTGCACCTCGGCTGCANTAAGATGTTTAAAAGTATATACATTTATTTGAAATTTTTTCAAACAATGTTTAAAATACATATCTTCGCTTAATGAGAAATAAAAATAAATTTTAATGTTACTGAAGATACTAAATGTAGTGCTTACAATTTTCTAGCCATCTGTTAACACGACACATATTATAAAGGTAGAAAATAATCGCTTATTTTTTATGATAAAATAACAGAAATCTCGTTCCGAGTGTGGCAGTGTGGTGGCAGCCTGGAAATAATTCCATGCTCAAGGGTTGGTCACGTATTCCGCAAACGCCACCCATACTCTTTTCCTGGTGGAAGTGGAAATGTGTTCGCACGTAATACTCGGCGAGCTGCTGAGGTCTGGATGGACGAATACAAAATGTTCTACTACAGCGCTGTACCTCTTGCTCGCAACATACCTTACGGCAAGTGAGTATACACATGTACACTGTATATTACATTACATGAATACCCTCCTTCCACACATGTCATTCACATCTTTCCAACACCCAACCATCCTCAAAAGCAAGTTTGGCATTCTTCTTTTGCCTTACGCAGCAAAATATTGACCTCCCATCAAATATATGTATTCTTAGATAGTGACATCTTAGAACGACGTGCGCAGTTAAATTGCTTTGAGAATCTTTATATTATTAATTACGGTTAAAATATTTAATTTTCCAATTTTGTACGAACAATTAAATGATTTATTGCTATGAAAAACATAGTTTTAGTTCTTATCAAATGTAAAAATTCAAGTTACTAATTATTTAATCTTATTTTCAAATTGAAGCGCCCAAGACTGGTCTCGATCAATCACAAAACGAATAAATCGATGACAATCAAAATTTACAAGTAGAATAATATTTTCAACAAAAACTAGTGATTTTTCAGTCACTTCTTATCTATTGGCTTCGGACTATCAGTACGGGTAACTTTAAGATACTGGTTTATTTAAATGTATAATGCAAAATTGTATTATGAGTCCAATATAACTACAAAAAAATTCAGTACTTTTTAGTGACAAGAAAACAGACAAAGTCTCGGCAATTTTCTATTATTTACTTCAGATTAGAGTGGATCCTTTTATGTCTATTATTTAAACTTGTTTGTTGCTTCACGTTAGTTTGCGTGTACGTTCTTTTTTTTACGATACTTACATGCGTTGTGTACCATAACAGTATTAATAATTTTATGTGCACACTCGTACCAAGATTGTGTTGTATTTTTTTACGTTTAATCTTATTAATGAATTTTTTAATTGTAATTCTATTGCGTTAAAAAGGGCATGTTATGCTTTAGCCCTTCACAGTATCTATATTATAAGTTTTAATTATTGTAAGGCGCACAGGCTATACAGGACCATTGAGCTCGTCTCTGAGTCCTTAGTCTATAAAATAATTTGAAATTCAAATTCAGATTTGCATACTTGAATTTGCAAATAAAGAAAAGTAAGAGTTTTTGCTGGTATGCCTAATGTATTTTGGTGTAATTTACTCTCTTTAATCCTATTTTATAACTTTACTCACAAATATGGGGCAGAAAGTCAGTAGAACAAAAATAAAACTATAATTCTCAAATTCACTTTTAATATTTTTTCATGCGCAGCCTTTACGAAATGTGGTCTTATCATTAAGTTAGCTGTGAATCAAATTTTTCTAGTACTTTCGAGTATATATGATTGTATTCTCAAATTGAAACAATGCTATTAACGGTACCTGACGTTGGCTATAGATATTTTTTAAATTCCAGCAGATAGCATACGACGCGACGTTCAGAGCTTTTAGTGGTTAATCCTGGGTAATTCTATGGTGTTTTTTATTAAGATCAAGCATGAACCTGAAGGTAATGAAATAATATAAGCCAGCGCCCATGGTATCGAGTCTTGAGATGGTAAAACATCCTAAAATGCGATATTAGCTGGGTTTACTATACCCGTTATATAATGCCAAAAAGTTTCCGGAACCAATTCATAAATATCACTAAAATAATAAGCTATGAATATGGGCCATTTAGAAGGATGAGCGTTAATTCAATGTAGCGCGTCCCTAGAATTGGACCACAAACGTACAGAATTAATTGGTTACTTTAAGTTTAAACAAAAATGACGTACGAGTTTGGCTAACAGATGAGCAGCGCAAAGCTCAAGTTAGAAGATACTGAGAACCTAAAATATAGATACTTCTGTTTTGGACTTCTGAAGTGTTACGTTAACTTGATCTCTTTGAACTATATGAATATGCAAATCTTTAGCAAAGGCGCATTTTGATGCATCATCGTGCCCACGTAATTCTATACCTGAATTACAAATTCTGAACCTTAGGATTAAACCGATTCCACCTAGGTATTCTAACCTTATTTAACTCTTAAACCTCTGATAACTATCGCAACCAATTATCTAATGGATTTTTAATCACTGGAAAGTCCCAATCTAGTTTGAATAACCATTGTGATTGCAGAAGAATTTTAACACACATAATAACTGGCGCTAGCCAACAGAGAGGATCGTATTCAATGAGTAAACTTGCATGGGCTCAGTAGGACAAAACATTATCTTTACATCTGTAATAAATGCTCACTCATAGCCTTTCCAGGTAGAAATAAGATCAGGGAGACAAGGCAGAAGATTCGGACTGGTATAAAGTTATTAAGCGAAGTAACAGATGAAAACTTGGCAAAACTATTGCTCACAAACGACATGCGTCATGTGTTGACCTCTTACATGGATAGTATCTTGGAAGCATACTAGTCTGGATTGCAGTTCCGTTTTGAAATCAGGAATTTCAGAAGTACTTTCTCTATTTTTATACGTTAAACCACTGTTATATCAAAGACGGCGTAGCAATAAATTATATATTCATGCCTAAGCTTTCGATTAATAGACTGGGGACATGATAGGAAAGGTTAAAGACGGAGCACTAATATGAGAACAGGGTTGATAATTGTAGAGAAGGCTAGCCGACGGTACGTAACCGGTCATTTAATTGGAAAGCAGCTTGTTTCCTTTTTAAATTAAGCTAGTCGTTTGGCCATCAGCATTTTTCACTAGTGGCACACACCAAAGCCTTGAGAATTGATTTTTTAAATAAAAGTTAGTTACCTAGCCGTCGTCATGTACACCAACTGTCACACAACTTAGCGTTGATACTTGATTTTTTTAAGCCTGGCCGTTGGAATTTTTATGAACTGGCACACAACTTAGCGTTGACACTTGATTAATTTTGTTTAGTTAATTTTTTTTTTGACACCTGCCTGATGATTATTATCTGGATTAAATGGCATGCAATAGTGGGTTTTACGTAAAAAATCATGGGGGAGTGGTCAAAAATTTACTTTGAATAAGAATATTATTTACTTTTATTTTGTCTAGAAAGGGGTACTAAAGGGGCTCTTGGGGCAAGATCCGGGTAGCCAGATTAAATTTAAACTGAAAAGAATGGACCGGATTCTCTAGGTCACGTATATCCACTGACCATATTCTCTAGATCAAGTGTCTAGTTTATTAACGCGTACGGAGAAAAAAGATGTAGACCATTTGTGTGTGCCCATGGGCGTAAAATGGCACTTTGTGTCCTCAATAAGAACAACAATAAACAGTATAAGCTTTTCAACGAACCAAAGTAGGTATACGAAGATAAGAAGTGCCTAATAAATCAATAATTTTTTGTCTCTATGGTGGTAAAAATAAAAATAAATGGACCTTGTGTAATAAACATATCCCCATGGAAACTTTAAGTATAACTAACGGTATTCATATATCTATCTAGAATAAAGAACATTAAACATTTTTTTTCTTATACAAAATATTTTGAAAAATTTTCAAAAACAAAAAACAATTATTGGAAATACGAAAACATCACTTTTCCATACCTCGATTAAGTATATACAAAAATTCAGATTTCAAGAATCGATATCATTGCCAAACGACTGACTTCCCCCTCTATTTTTAATGGCTTTAGGTAGATGGTTTTCTTGCTTCCTGTTTCTTTATTCTGGTTTGCTGTACCGATCTCTACTTCTTCGTTTTCGATCAGATTGGCTATCTTTCCCTCTTCTAGCTCTTTATCTTGGTTAACTAATCCCCTCTCCACTGTGCCGTAATGACCTCATGGTAATGTGTCTGTAGAACCAGATTGAAAACAGTGTTTATTATTATGCGTACTGAGCGCAATTTTAGAGTGTGTCCGTTGTAGAGATTTTGAATGTTAAAGATGGTGTGCCTTAGGGTGCGTATTCATGGAGTCCTAAACTTCCAGGACCAGTCATAAGCTTGTGTGAGTGCGAGTGAAAAGCAAGAATATATACTCTATTTGTCGAACTTGCAGGGGCTCGTGGGCTGATCCTAGAAGTTCAAGACTCCATGTATACGCAGCTTTATCACTGTTCGCGCGGAATGAGACGCTGTTTTTAGCACGAATTTTGTTTTTTAATTTGGTTGGTGAGAAACGCCACAGATTTAGATACATTTTTACCCAAGTGAATTGAATTAAAAGTCAATTTTCTAATTTTGCTGTTTCTTTTATAATACGTTCAAATACTTAATTTATTCGACAAACGATGACCTGTAAGATAATCAAGACTTTTCTAGTATTGTACCTTTAGTTTTGTAATTTTGAATTTTTTTGCAATGGAAGATGTACAGCGTGAAGCTCAGCTCTGCAGACAGCGCCTAGTTCTATTTTAGATATGAAATAGTGTATCCGTGAATTAGTGGAAGTAGAGCAGTAAGCGTGTGTGTGTGTGTGTGTGTGTGTGTGTTGACAGTGGTAGTCCATACAGTGTCTGTAAACTGTATAACCAATATTACTGATAGATACTATTTACACTTACAAGAATAAACTAATATATCCACAAGTAAGGACTAGGTGGCCCTGTTGCTTTTTGAGATTCTGAGCTGAGCTTTACACCGTACATCCCTTAGTATAAACATCACTCGTCTAAAGACAATAATTTTTCCTCGAATGAATTTCAGCATACAAGAGAGACTTGAGCTGAAACGTAAGCTACATTGCAAGCCTTTCAGTTGGTACTTGAAATACGTCTATCCAGAATTGATAATCCCCACAAAGAATGGAGGACCAGGTGGATCATTGAGGCAGGGTGCTGTCTGCTTAGATAGTATGGGTCATCTGCTTAACGGTACTGTTGCACTTTATCCTTGCCACGACACAGGTGGAAATCAGGTAAGTAAATTGAAATAACTTTACTGGGTACTATTTACATGGCACAACGGTCGTCTCAAGCACATCCCATCTTTTATCAAGTTTAATGAAAGGATCCCTCCTGATAAATCATCTAAATAGTTGTACGAATATTTTTAGAACCGATAGTCATTTTACCCATGAGCTGGCCATGTGTTGGTTTTTCAAAGTTTCAAAAAATCCATTTTCTCCGATTTTTAGAGCTCCACGACAGTGCTAAACAAACATATTTTCATATGTTACAACACATAATCATAAACTGTGAGCCTTCCTCTACAATCTCTAAAAAAGAAAATGTCGAAAAGTTAAGTGGCAAGATTGTTTTTTGCAATAAACGTTCAGGGCGTTTCAGCGCGCGCTCCCGTGTGAATGTATACCTATATATATTCACTACACGCTGAGCCACGAAACGTATTTATAGTTATACACTCACATATGAAACACCCTGAAAACGGGTCTGACGCTTGGGCATTGTATCATTTACCTCCAGGTAAAATTGTAATTTCAACAAAATGGGTTTTCAAAAAAAATCTCATGGCAAGAATAGCACTAAATATAAAGCCAGACTCGTTGCTAGAGGATTTTCGCAAGTCAAATGAGTTGATTTTGATGAGACGTATTTAGATTGGCTAAAGAAATTTATATGCATGGAGTTCAACATATTAACAGAAGGTTTTTTATATTAAATCAAAAATTGAATAAAAAAAAGGAGATTTGAAACATGTACCTTTCGTCAACATGTTGACCGACTCTTTAACAAAATTTTAAATTGAAATTGAACTGTGGAAGGAAATTACAAGTCAATTCAAAATGTGTATACTGAGCAGAAAGCACTAATGTAAGATGGTGTAACATATGGATATGATTGTATATGTGGTGGTATGGACTGGTGTCTCTAGGAGAGAGAGCATTGCTTTAGTCGGTCTGCGTATGAGGATGAATCATGAGCAAGCTCAACCGCCAGAGGCAGCAGGACAAGATACTACCAAAAGATATATAGATATATAATTTAAATACGGTTTATTTACATTCTTTCAAATAAAAATTCATAAAAATTATTAACATTGTTGCTTTCAGCAGTCTCTTAAATTAACTTATATTAAAATTTAAATCTAAACCATAATAGTTTTCTTTGAAAATTTGCTCATTTATCCTTTAAATTAAAAATCTTCCGCTCTCTCACATACAAGTAACAGTGAGAGTGTGTTGGTGAGAAGCCATGATAAACGGTGTTCAAATAATACATCTATATCTTTAGGTAGCATCATGTCCTGCTGCCCTCTGTCGTTTGAGCTTGCTCATGACTCATCCTTATAGCTCTGCTCAGAGCAGCTTTTAAAGCCCTATCCCAGTTATATACATAATAAAATATTATTCAACACACGTGCCCGTTTTCTTTTACTCCGCCGTTATCCACACACACATACTTATTACGTCTCAAAAAATAACACGTTCCCTGAGTGCAAAGACTTCGGCCCCCATAGTAAGAATAGTATAGTACGTAGCTAGTAAGTGAGGTTAAGAATGTTGCAAATACACGTGAAATCTAGGCATTTTTTAACCTCCGAATGTGGTGCGTTTACGATTTTACATGTAATGTTGTCTGAGAAGTCAATATTACTGTCCACAGAGTGGACAGGACTGTTCACTTTCCGAGCACCAGACACGTAAAAGCGAATAACTGAATGGTGAAGTTCAAGTTTTATTAGAATTTCAAGAGAGCAGTTATATAATAGAACTCGCAACCCTCTCGTCTCGATTTTTCCCGAGATTCACTGAGTCAACCACTTAGTGTGTTGACACGTAATGTAAAACGTTTTCAGTTTAAAATTTTTGCATCTGTTTTTGACACTTTCCGGAATGAAAAACCTCTTATCAAAAAAGTTTTTCTTTCGAATCCATGCTGTTTTGGTCGAATATAGCTGTGAAGAAGTATAAACAAATCTAAATGGGTCATGGGACCCACGGTAAGAACGAAGTTCTTTAACCATGACATGAGTATAAAGACACACAATTTCTCAGGTAACAAGGGGGTCGCCAGACCCATAAGAAGAACGAAGCTCTATAAAAATAAGTACCGCATTCATGTAGTTCACTGAAACAAAAACTTGAAAAATGAATAAAAAGTAATAAGAAAATTTAGTTCAATACTAACGATAGTTGAACTTCGTGAGTACGTCATGCATAAATACCGTACTCACGAAGTTCAACTATCGTGAGTACTGAACTAAATTTTCTAATTACTTTTTATTCATTTTTCAAGTTTTTGTTTCAGTGAACTACATGAATGCGGTACTTATTTTTATAGAGCTTCGTTCTTCTTATGGGTCTGGCGACCCCCTTGTTACCTGAGAAATTGTGTGTCTTTATACTCATGTCATGGTTAAAGAACTTCGTTCTTACCGTGGGTCCCATGACCCATTTAGATTTGTTTATACTTCTTCACAGCTATATTCGACCAAAACAGCATGGATTCGAAAGAAAAACTTTTTTGATAAGAGGTTTTTCATTCCGGAAAGTGTCAAAAACAGATGCAAAAATTTTAAACTGAAAACGTTTTACATTACGTGTCAACACACTAAGTGGTTGACTCAGTGAATCTCGGGAAAAATCGAGACGAGAGGGTTGCGAGTTCTATTATATAACTGCTCTCTTGAAATTCTAATAAAACTTGAACTTCACCATTCAGTTATTCGCTTTTACGTGTCTGGTGCTCGGAAAGTGAACAGTCCTGTCCACTCTGTGGACAGTAATATTGACTTCTCAGACAACATTACATGTAAAATCGTAAACGCACCACATTCGGAGGTTAAAAAATGCCTAGATTTCACGTGTATTTGCAACATTCTTAACCTCACTTACTAGCTACGTACTATACTATTCTTACTATGGGGGCCGAA